CTCAGGGCTGGGGCTTGGGAGGGTCCCCAAAGTCACATGGAGCAGAGAAAGGCCCAGGCCTGTAGTCTCCAGTGCAGTCTTGGCTCAGAGCAGTCTCAGATTTAGCGAAGAATTGTTCCAGGCCCCTACATGATGTGACTATCCATACCACCTTAATGATACATCTCGCAGATGAAGAACCCAGAACTCAGAGACACTCAATAACTGGGGCAGGGTATCTCATTTAGTTTGGTGGTTCCGCTGAGGTTTGAACCCTGTGTCTCCAGTGCTCATTTCACTAAACCATGGCTGCCTCCCAGAAAACATCCCGTGCACATCTGTAAACTGAGGATCAGGAAAGTGAGATTTGCCAGTCGCTCAGGGCTTAAGGAAACATCACTCATGGCTTTGGTGGGGAAAACTCATGCCCAAGTAATTTATTGGGATTCTTTAAGGGATGAACATATGAATATGATTTAAAGTTTCAAAAAGCCTTCAACATGGCATTCCTTTTTTTTTTTTTTTAATGGAGTCACTCTGGGGTTTGGAGACCTGCCATAGCTGATACATTTCCTCAAGGACAGACACAGCACATAGCAAGAAGATGATGTGGCATCAAGGTGACAGCCAGACTGCGTGGGTCCAAAGCTGGGCTCTGTTCCTTCCTGGCTGAGTGGCCTTGGGCAATGTATCTACCCTCTCTGTGCCTGTTTGCACATCTCTAAAATGAGGTTGATGAAAAGAACACCTAACTCATCAAGCAATTTCACATACATAAAATGCTTAGGCAGTGCCTGCCACAAAAAAATCATTACCTGTGTTTATCATTGCTATTATGCTATTATCTTTGCTATTATTCTTTGGCAGAATGTAAAGTAGATCCCTCCAGGATCGGGCCATGGCCAGCCTCTTATTGCACTTATATCTGTGATCAGAGATTGCAAGGACAGGGAGAAATCTCCATGTCTGCCAGGGCGGTGGCGCTCCTTCATGCAGCGAAGTGTTCACCTGCCACTGAGGAGGATCTTACGGGTGGTGGGTGGAGGTGGGGAGATGGCGGCCCAGCTGCATTATGGGCCAAGGTGAGTCACTGAACATGAATCTTTGCAGCAGGTAAATCTCTAAACGTCCAGTCTGAGGCCCAGAGAATGTAGCCAAAATGGAAGACCCCACCCTTACCACTCAGGGCAATAGAAATAATTTAGAGTACTGAGAGATGAGAGGTGGGTGGTCTGAAAAGACAAAAGTTTGTGTAAGGGATAGGATCAAGCCAAGGTCTCCTGGCTGTCACTGACGGAATTCAGAGCAGGACAGAAGCCTGGAGAATTCCAGAGTGTACAATCGTTCCACCCAGCCCTCTCTGCTGTGACCCCACACAGATCAGAAGCGGGCGCTGTCAGAGGCCCAGACCTGAGGCCCAAGCACCAGCTCCAGCCCTCCAGCCCTCGCCAGTTCAGAAGCCAACTGCGGCTGCAGTCCTCAGGACTTCCTGTCTCTGCCAACGGCCCCTCCCTTCCCATCTCACTGGTCTCATCCGCCCAGCTGGGCCTTGGGGACCTGCCCTACTTCCCCCTCTCGCCTGCCCTCTAGCTCCTTTCCGCTGCGACTCCACAACCCTCGCCTCCCTTTAGGTTCCCCTCTCCAACAGGCTGAGGCAGAGGAGCAAGGCCGGACGAATCAAATACATACTGACCCTGGTGCAGAATGGTGAAGAAAGTAGAACACCTCACTGTGTGACCTTTAGCAGGTCACCTCCCTTCTCTGGGCCTCGGTGTATTCATGAATGAAATAAAATGTTCAGACTAGATGGCTGCTAATGTCCCCTACCAACTGAAAGCTCTATTATTCCTTAGGAGAGGTGGGGCAGGACAGGGAGCTGGAGGGAATAGGGCATCCAGGCTCCGTGCAGCTATGTGGTGTATGCACATGCTGTCTGTATGTTCGTTCTGCATCACCCAGTGTCGTTAGGAGGCTGTCTGTGAGTGGCACAATATGATCACATCCAGGTACGTGCACATCTTCAGGCATCTGTGTGTATATGAATGTGAGGGTTTCTATACGTGTGACTATACGCGTGAACGTGCGGATGTGTGTCTATGTGCTGAAGAGGGAGGTGTGTGGGTACACGTGGATGTGAGCGCAGTGTGCATACACGAGCAGATCTACATGTGCGGCTGAGGCAGGGGTCACAGACGGAGAACTGGGCTAAGGTGGGAGTAGTGGTGGGCAGGCGCCACCGGGTATCATCCTGGGAGGGTGCCCTCTGGCTAGGGAGCCCTTGCTGCAGCCCCTGGGCTTGCCTGCCTACACCTCCTGCCCCATGGTCATTTGCTCCAGCTAGGGCAGAGGGAGGTCGGCTGGCCTTAGGCTTTGCAGAGCCATCTTTAAAGGTGTTCAAAACCTTTCCAAAGAACTCCAGTAAGTAAAACATTAATTACACAAATATGACTCTTACTGTTTTAAGCACTTTACATATAGCAATATCTTTAATTCTCAAACAACCTTATGGTAGGTACTATTCTATTTTACAGACAAACTTTGGCTCAGAGAGGCTAAGTAGGGAGGAAACTATTTATCTTCACCACTGAGATCTGGGGGAGAGCAGGACTAAGGCCCAGAAACAGGTGAAGAGTTTGGTCAAGGTAAGAGCAAGACTGGGAACAGAACCCAGGCCCTTCCGTTCCTACTCCAGGGTGGTCGAGTTGACATCTCACAGCTGGAATGGCAGGAGGAAAGACTGCATTTAGACTCCACAAGAGACTTCCAAGGGATTACATAGGATGAGACATACCAACTGTAGAAAAACAGGGCCCAGCATACCCCGGGACAGGGAAGACCAACCAGAACCATAGAGCCTCAACCTGTTCACATCTGCTGTGTGGCAAGCCCTGGAGACAGATGGATGAGACAGTCACTGCCCTTGAGGGGCTCAGTAATGGTGTGAACACAGCTAAGTTTGCATCCGACACGTTTCAGTGCTATGAAGTGTGAGGCAGGCATGGGGAGCCCAGAGGACTGACGCCCTATGGTCTCCCTCTACTGAGAAGCAATGACTGAACTGGTGACAGCCCTCTTCGCTTCAGAAGTCACCCTGAGTCACAAAGCTTATCAATGGGCTAGTGAATGACTCTCTATAAAAGCACCAGGCAGTTGTCTCCCACCCCAGGCTGGAATGTGGTCCATGGCCAGGGGAGCCTCTCGGAGAATCGGTCCCCAAACCACCAACTCTGCTGGTGACCCACATAGCCCTGGCCCAGGAAGGGACTCAAAGCTGACCCCAAAACCCTTGGGATCTCCTGGACTGACATCAGGCAAGTCCAGGCTTAGGGGTTGAAGAAGAAAAAAAATAGCCAGTCCCCAGTGATGCAAGTGGCAGAATGTACATCCTGCCTACAAGTCCTTGGTGACAAAGCTCCCTTGTTGACATGATCATCACAGTAGGAGCTAGAGAAAACTGGCCTTGAAAATCATAGAATTTCATTACATCCTAGCAAAATGCAAGGAACAGAGAGAGTGACTAAAGAATCTTACAGAGGGGCAGCTCTGCTTTCAGGCAGCTGTTTTGCTTTGGGAGCGTTGGAAAGAATATTTATACAATTGGTGTAGGTCAGTGCTGATCCACTGGGGCTGACGTGGGAGCCTCACCCCTACCTTTCAGGTGGGTAGCAGCCTGCCAGCCAAGTTTCCATCCCATTCCTCTCGCATGAGACTGTTCTGTTTATCCAGGAAGTGGGCCTTTTGGGTACCTGTTCCCGGGGCAGGGACCCAGGAGAAACACTGCAGACACTCTGGCACTAGAGCTCCTTAAAAGGTAAAGCCAAGGCCTCTGGCCAATGACGCACCTTAGCCCCACCCAGGGACATAGAAAGCAGGAACTATTGCTCCCAAGATGCATTGATGATGTAATCCTTTGTGCAACAGAAAAGAATGTGAACTCACTGAACAGAAGCTTCTCTCAGGCCTGTGTGGAAAGAAAAGAGCCCAGAAATTCAGCCCTTCTCTGGCCACCCTATCCCCCAAACTGGTCTATCTCTGCCCTCCAAAGTCCAGTTGCCTTGTGAAAACTCGGACCAAACTATTCCACAGATATGGACATAGAGGTGAGCTGAAGTCTCCATCTGATTCCAAAGCCCACACCGTCCGTTACCCTAGTATGTCGTTCTCCTGCCCACCATCGGATCCCTTGTTAAACCAGAACCCAGGCCTGGGCCACCCAAGTGTGTTCATATCCCCCCAGCGCCATCTGTCCCAGAGCCCGTCCTCCGGTTCCCTGTTCTCTTGCTACTCTGCCCGTGTATGGCCTGCCTGCTACCTAGCACCTCATCCGCAGGGAGCCAGGCCCAGCCTTGCTCACCCTTGAGGCCCCAGTGCCAAGAACTTCGAGGCCATTCCATAAGGATTTGTAGAGCGAATGAATGGATGAGTGAATGCAGTTCTAAACTCCTCTGCCCAGAGGAGCTTACCCCAGGCTAGACCCTCCTGTATGAATTAACCTTCTCTCACTTTCCCCAGGGCCCTCTCACTCCCTCTCCCCATCCTAAAGATCCTGGTACTGTACGATCAAATCACCATAAACTTAAGTTGCAGGACCCACAAGGGGAGGGTTGCTTTCCGGTACTGTGGTACTGTTCCCCCTGTCGCTTCCCAACCAGGCCAAGTCTTGTCTGTGCTCTGGAGAATCCAGGTCCAGGTAGCTGGCAGCTCAGTCCCCTGCAGAACTTTTTATTGCAGAGGAGGGGTCGTTGGAAAAGAAGGGTGGGGGCAGTTCATAGGGGGAGGATGCTGGGTCCAGGTAAGCCATAGGCCAACGCAGTGGCACCAGCGTCCAGGCTATCTCCGCACTGGGGACGGGGTTGTCACGGGTCTGTAAGCTGTGCTTCTACACCTTACTATCCGGGGTGAGGGACAAGAGGGACAGGTGAGGTGGGGGCCAGATCCATGAGAGGGGGCGTCTGAGACAAAAAGGTCAAGTCTTTGGGGGCAGAAGCTGGGGTTGCTTGTCTTCCCCGGAGCGCGAGGGTTCAATATTCGCGGGAGCCGCGGCAGCTGAAGTCGCTGGCACAGCCAGGGGAGCCGCAGAGCGCGCAGCCGCCGCCAGGGGCGCTCGTCTCCAGGAGGCCGGGGTCGGCTCCGGGCGGGAGCGGGCGGGCGGGGCCCGAGTCCGGAGCGGTCCCCGGGGCTGAGCGGAGAGCGGCAGTCGGAAGGAGGAAGGCCCTCCCGAGCCCCCGCCCCGCGCCAGAAGACAGACGTGCAGACATCTCCTCCGGCGGACAGATACACAGACCCTCCCCCAAAGAACAGACCTCGGGCCCCCTCCTCCAACACACACGAACACACAGAATCACCCGCGAGAGGAGAAAAAGGGAGCAGTCCCAGACACAAGGACAGAAACACACCGCGTCTCCCTTCCCGAGAGAATGCGCACACAGGAGGGGAGGGTGTTGCGGGGGCCAGGAAGAAAAGGTAGAGCAAGCACTGGGGCCAGCCACGCCTGTTGTCTACTTACCCACGCTCCCGGCCCCAGATCCCAGGCCAAGCCTGCGGGAAGAAGAGGGGAGCAGGTGAGTACATCTATCTACCTGCCAGGCCTGACTGACATCCTCCGTTCTCCAAGACAGACACTCCTGACCCTCCCAGACCAGCAGTCTTTCCACGCTGCAAGCCCAGCCTTGACTCTCTTATCCCCACTGTCCTTGGAGTCAAAACTCCTTCCAGACCCTTGACCTCAATCCCTCCCGCCTTAAATGCAAATGACTCCCTTTCTTTGATGACTTCTTGGTGGAGGGAGAAGGTAAAAGATCTACCCTTTCTCTGGCCTAACCTGAACTTGGAAGGTGAGACCATGAGGGAGGCATTGTAAACCTTTAAAGGAGACCACGAAGGTAACTCGATTATCTGAACAATATTGTTCAAGCCTCACCCAGTCACTCTCTACCTGTGTGTCCTTGAGATTGTCATTTAGCCTCTCTGAGAGTTGGTTTCCTTGTCCGTAATATGGGGATAATAGTGCCTCCCCTGCCAGGGTATTTGTGGGCTTTAAAGGAGGTGATCATGCAATATGCCTGCTGCATGGTGACTGTTCGGTTCCCTCTTCCTCCTGCAGCTGGTATACCCAACTCCTGTTGGCCATCCTCCTTTCTTCTGTGGTCTGCCTGTTCTTTAACCCTGCCTTACCCAGGCCTGGAGAGAAGGGCAGTGTGGAGAAGAAGGCACGTCACACTGGGGACCTTGTTCCCATGGGGTAGGCATTAATTCCTGCCACTGTCTCCACAGACAAACTTGCCCCTGCTGTCTGATCCTGGGGTGAATGATTTGATGGGTCACCCCATTCCTTTGACTTTTTGTAAGATGGTGGTAAAAAAAAACGGCTCCAGGAGAACAAATTCCTGGATACCCAGGTCATCTCTCCCCACCCCGCCCCTGCTGATGAGAGTGGTGGCTGCCCTACGCCCCTGCACTCCCCCCACGCCCCCCATGGCCCACATCTGAAGCACTCCCAGCCCTCACCGTTGCTCCTCGCCCTGCAGCAGCTTGCGGTAGGTGGCGATCTCAAAGTCCAGGCCCAGCTTCACAACCATCAGCTCCTGGTACTCGCGCAGCTGCCGCACCATGTCCTCCTTGGCCTGCTGCAGGGCGGCCTCCAGCCAGGCCAGCTTGCCTTTGGCACTGCCTGAGGCACCCTCCAGCCGTTCCTTGGTTGTCTCTAGTTCACAGGACTGGGGGCGAAGGGCAGACCAAGGACAGAAGGACATCTTTGGCCCTCACTCCTCCCCTTGATGAAACCAGACCTTTCTCAGAGGCTGGAGTGACAATGAGGCGTTGGAGGAAGAAAAGAGCCTGCCCACCCTTCTGCTCTCAGAGGGAAGATTTGGGACCCACCATTTGGGATGGCTGTGAGAGAGCCTTTTACGTCTAGTGTGGTGACACTCCTAATATGAGCTGGGATCCAGGAAGCATCAAATGCTCTTTAGCAGGTGATACTAGGGTTATTGTTTCAAAAGGAAAACTAACAGGAAGAATATCCATTCCCCATAGGAGCCTATAGTCTCAGAGAAAAAAATTAATGACAAATGCCTATCTTGCTGAGGTGTGCTTTCTGCTTAGGAAACCAGAGCAGCTGTGGCTGGTGGGAGACCCCAACAGGCCCACCCACTCACTCTGCCCCCCTAGAACCTGAGCAGCTCAGCCCTCCTCAGAGTCATCAGTTCCTGGACAAGGGAGACAAATCCTCCATGAGTGTCCCTTTGTGCCTGAGACACTTGATCTGCGGACAGTGAGAAAAGACTGGGAGCAGAAGCCCTTCTCTCTGGGGGGTGGGACATGAGCTGGAGTGTTTGACAGAGGGTACCAGGACAAAAGAGAAGAGGCCAGGAGACTGGGCGAAAGAAAGCATTTCTGCAGGGGCCTGCCTGGAAGCATCAAAAAGGTGAAGGCCACATGCTAAACATACATCAACAGTATCCAGTGTCACAAGAATGCCCTCTCCCATTTTCCTGAAATCACCGGGACCTCGTGCACATTTTCAGCTGTTCATTGCTCTACTTAGAGACCCTTTCTCCACTACAAGGACCATAACAGTGCAGCCAGGGTGGTGATAAGTGGCAAAGGACCCTCTGCCTTGCAGCCAAAGGAAGCTATTGGGAGAGGTGGGGACCGTGGCACCAGGGAGCATATACCCCGTGTGAAGAAGAGAGAGAAGATAGAGGCCTGTCTTCTCCAGTCAAATGTTACCATTTGGGAATCACAGTTAACACTGTCAGATCTTCACATTTTAAAAGATAACCCAAGAAAACTGGGTTTCTAGGTAATATCTTGCAATTCCTGAAGATGGGCTCAAATTTCATGCCAAGTAAGAAAAACAAAACACAGACATAAAAATGTACATACACATATAAAAAGATAACGATATACAAACAAGCATATGTATTCCTGCATATTTACCTTCATGTTCATTGCTTACCTGCATAAAATTCAGAGTCGTAGGCCAAGGCGAGCACGACACACACATGCAGCCACACTGCTGTTTGCTCAGACATTCACAAAGAGACACTCTATCTGTCTACTCCAAGGATTGGCGGGGAAGATGTCTGGTCTGGTTGTCATAAATAACGGACACCCTCCCGCCACCGCCACTGTGCCGCCCCCGACTCCTACCCTCACCTGACTCTCAGCGTGGTCTGCCCGCACCGCCAGCCGCTGGATGGCCTGGTTCAGCCTGTTCAGATCTTCCTTGCTGTGCCGCAGGCTCCGCACGTGGTTCTGCACAGTTGCCTTTATCTCCTCGCACTGTGGGGTGGGGTGGCAGAGGAGAGCACACGGGGCAAAGCAGTTCCAGTACCCACCCGTCCACCTGCTGGCACTAGCAAATCATCTAACCTCTCGGCGGCACCCGTTTGGCCACCTGTGCAATGGCAATGAGAGTCCTTCCTAACGCCAAGGGGTGGCGAGAGGATGCGATGTGCTCACTGGCACAGTGGCAGGTGCTCCCCCAGGCCAAGAGATGCCAAAGGAAGCCTGAAGTTGGGCACGATGGGCAGCAGCACGGGGCAGCAATCTGTTGAGGGGGGTTTTGGACTGAGATCACCCAGAAATAGGGATAACTGAACTCCAGGAAATTGATTATTATAATTTGCCACAGCTGGTCATCTAAATTAGCACAAAAAGCATTTAATAAAATTCAGTGGTAATTCCTAATTTTAAAAATATTTTTAAAAATCTAGGACTATCAGCCAGGTGAGGTGGCTCACACCTATAATCCTAGCACTCTGGGAGGCCAAGCGGGGAGGATTGCTTGAGCTCAGGAGTTCGAGACCAGCCAGGAGTTAGAGACCCCGTCTCTACTAAAAAAAATAGAAAGAAATTAGCCGGACAACTAAAAATAGAAAAATTAGCTGGGCGTGGTGGTGCGTGCCTGTAGTCTCAGCTGCTCAGGAGGCCGAGGCAGGAGGATTGCTTGAGCCCAGGAGTTTGAGGTTGCTGTGAGCTAGGCTGACACCACGGCACTCTAGCCCGGACAACAAAGGGAGACTCTTGTCTCAAAAAAAAAAAAAAAAATCTAGGACTATGAAGGGATTTCCTTATCTTGGTGAATGCTATTAATCAAAACTAATAATAAAGATCTAGATTCCAGCTCTGTCCCCAAACCCAAGGCCACTGTGGGAAGTGCTGTCTATAAAATTGGCGGGCCCTGTCCCTCCCTGCACCTTGCCTCCACACGCCAACGCATAAGTAGCCTGCGACAGTAACTCACACTTGCACAGTGCCTGACACGTCAAAATCTTTTTACTGACACTTGGGGCTCAGGACCACTTATGAAGCAGGCCGGGTGGCTGTGACCATCTCCACTGTTTCCCTTGGGCAAGCTGATGCTCATTACATCTACTGCATGCAAGGAAGTAGGGACCAGAGGGAAGTGCGGAACCCTGCCAGTCACTGGCTAAGACAAACTGCATTTTAAGCCCATGCTATTTGCTGTACACCTGAGGTACAGATAAAGTCACACACACACACACACACACCCTCAACCCAGAGAGGAGGAGCTGTTCACACCAGCCCAGTGCAAATTTCTTTCAAGGGTAGACAGAGTGTGGAGGGATAGACGGAGTGTGGAGGGACAGACAGGGACAGACTGCAAAACATCATCTCAGTCTCTGCTGTATTCCCACCACCCACTCTTTCCTCTCCTATTCCCCAAAACTGCACACGTAACTTCTGCCTGGCTGGGCAGCATATCTGGGTGGAGTCCAAGGCCTCTCATTCCAGTGGGACCAATGAGCTGTGTGGACAAGTCTCACCATGACGAAGGAGCTATAGTCTCCTCCAAGCCTCTCTTGTGCACCAAAGCCCAGCTCCAGCTCAAGAGCTCCCAGAATCCTTGCCTCTGAGAACTAGGCCTCTTATTCCTGGGGGCTTTGTGACCTCACCTTATTACAATCGCAGAGTTCTGACTGGGAGGCCTCAGAGGCAGGGGGTCAAAGGGAGCTATACTGTGAGCCCAGATGGGAAAATGGAAATTCCTGGGCCGGTGTGGGCCTTGAAGGAAAGTGGAGGAGAGGAAGGCTACTTGAGGTGGGGAGGAAATGTGTAGAGCTGGGGAGTTGGGGCTTATGGAGTGGGCAATGGGGAGCCACAGAAGGTGCTTGAGCAGGACAGTGGCCTGATGTGAGATGTGACTTAGGAAGGCCTATCCGGGAGCAATGTGGAAGATGGACAGGAAGGTCAGAAACTGGGACTGGGGATGCCAGTCCCAAGACTTAGCAGGAAATCTTAGGTGAGGCAATGACTCTAAACTAGAAGAATGAGCAGAGACTAGAGCACACAGCTGCTGTCAGTATTTTCCTTTTGTTTTATAACGTTCTCATTATGTGCCAAAGAATATATACAACATGCATTTAATGATTTAAATAGCAACAATAATAAAACAAATCCTTCTGGTACCCACCAGTCCTTCAAAGCCCCCTGTGGGACCCATGCTGGTCCCAGCACTGTCCATCCATAACCCCATCCAATCCCCAAAGTAACCACTGTCCTGGGTTTTTATCTTAATCATTCCCTTACTTTTCTCTACTACTTTATGTGTGTATCGCTAAGCTGTGATTTAGTTTGCCTACCTTTCAATTTTATATAAATAGAATTACACTGTTTGTATGCTTCTATGACTTGCTTTTTCCTCCTCAATGTTCTATTTTTGAGGTTCATCTGTTTTGAGGCATGGAGTTTTTGTTCATTTTTCAATGCTGTGTAGTATTCCAATGTATGGATATTTCTCCATTTTCCTATGAGTAGTTTACATGTGCTTTTTGTTTTGTCATAACAAATGGCACTGCCGTGAACTCTTTTGTGTATATCCGCTGGCAGGAGGTTCTTTAGGATACTAGCTGTCAAACTCTTTTTTTAACCACAATTCAAAATAAGAAATATATTTTATATTATGAATCACCACCTACATACAAATGCACATATACTGAAATAAGTTTCATGAAAAATTACTCACCCCTGCTATGAATAATGCAGTCTGATCTAACCAATCACCTTAACACATTCTTTTACTTTCAATTTATGTCCTCCCTTGTATTTTACATTCATTTCTTATAAATAGCATATAACCTTTATTATTTATAATAAATAACTATAATAATATCATGAAAGTGAAATATCCATGTACCCACCTACTGACCCCAAAACTAAAACATTACTAGTAATTGACATCCACCTCCATGTTCCTGTCCTACTCTGGCCTCTGCTTATCACCCCACAGGTAATCACTTCCCCAAAGCTGTGTTATAATTCCCTTGCTTTTTTTTTTAGTTTTATTCCATACATGCATATATCTAAAAATACTTGTTTTAGTTTTTCTTTTTTCTTTTCAATAAAAAAGGTGTCACACAGGGACTTGTTGTTTTTACTCAACATTATGTAACTAAGATTCCTCCAACAGGGTTATAGTATGCTATTGTGTGACTATACCACACTTTATGTAATTTGGTTATTGTTTTGCTTTGTTCACTCCTCTTACAAAGGTTGTACTATGAACATTTTTCTACATGTCCCCTGATGCACATATGCAAGAATTTCTCTTCTTTCTCTTTTTTCTTCTAAAAGTTTTAGTTTTACTTTTGACACTTATGATTTAAATTTGTTTTAAATTGATTTTGTGTGATAGAGAACAAGGATCCAATTTTATTTGGAACCAGTGCATAGTCCTTCCTTTCACTATTGATCTCCCATACCACCTCCATTGTACATCAAAAGTATTTATTTATTTATATATAAATTTAGGGGCTATTTATTTTGTTCCATTGGTCAATGTGTCTGTTTTTGTGTGGGTACTACACTTCCTCAATTACTATAGCTTTATAACAAATTATAATCTCTGAAAGGGAGAGTACCCATTTTTTTTCATCAGTTCTTTGGCTATTCTTGACCTTTGTTCTTCCCCATAAATTTTAGAATCCACTTGTCCAGACTTATGTACAGCCTTTTTCAGAATTTGATTTTAGTTGCATCAACTCTGTAAATTAGTTTAAGGTGAATTAATATCTTTATGATATTAAAGCTTCTTATCCATGAACATGGTATATCTCTTCATTTAATTAGGTCTTCTTTATTATCTTTTATTTCCAATAACATTTCATATAATGTTATATTTCTCTAGGCATAGGTCTTTCACATATTTTTAGGTTTGTTTCTAAGTAGCTTATGAGTTCTAAAGCATTATTTTATCAACTTTATTGAGATATAATTTGTATATGATAAAATACACACATCTTAAAAGTACAATTCAACAAATTTTAACCAATGTATGTCCCAATATAATCACCACTGAATGAAAATATAGATTTCCATAATCAGAAAGTTTCCTCATGCCTCTTTGCCATTAGTCTCCACCACATCCCAGGTTGAAAATGATCTAATTTCTATCACTGTAGATTAGCATTGCTAGTTCCAGAACTTCATATGAATGGAAATATGCAGTATATATTCTTTTGTGTCTGACTTTTTTTACTTAGCATAATGTTTTTGAGATTTATCTGTGTTGTGTCATGAATCAGTAGTTTATTCTTTTTTATTGCTGTGTGATATTTTATTGTATGGCCATATTTCAGTTAGTTTATCCATTCATCTGTTGATAAACATTTGGGTTATCTCTAGTTTGGGAATATTATGAATAAAGCTCCTTTGAAATTCATGTATTTTGTACTTTTCCTTGTAGAGGTATTTCATCTCCTTGGTTAAGTATATTCCTAGGTATTTTATTTTCTTTGAAACTATTGTAAATAGTATTGAGTCCTTAATTTGACTCTCAACTGTTATTAGTATATAGAAATGCTACTGATTTGTGTACATTGATTTTGTAACCTGAGACTTTGTTGAATTTATTTATTTATTTATTTGTTTGTTTTGAGACAGAGTCTCACTCTGTTGCCTGGGCTAGAGTGCCATGGCATCATCCTGGCTCACAGCAACCTTAAACTCCTGGGCTCAAGCAATCCTTCTGCCTCAGCCTCTCGAGTAGCTGGGACTACAGGCATGTGCCACCATGTCCGGCTAATTTTTTCTCTATATTTTTAGTTGTCCGAGTAATTTCTTTCTATTTTTAGTAGAGACAGGGTCTTGCTCTTGCTCAGTCTGGTTTCGAACTCCTGAGCTCAAACAATGCGCCCGCCTCGGCCTCCCAGAGTGCTAGGATTTGAATTTATTTATTAATTCTAGGTGGAACCTTTCGGATTTTTCTAGACAAGATTATATCATCACTTTATATAATCACCATTGATTTTGTCAAAAGTGATGGTTTGACCTCCTCTTTCCCAATTCGGATATCCTTTTATTTCTTTCTCTTGCATGATTGCTCTGGCTAGGACTTTCAGCACTATGTTGAATAGAAGTGGTGACAGCGGGCACCCTTATCTTGCTCCAGTTCTTAGGGGGAAGGCTTTCAATTTTTCTCCATTCACTATGATATTTGGCTTTTATGATTTTGAGATATATTCTGTCTATGCCTAGTTTGTTGAGGGTTTTTTTTTATCATGAAAGGGAAAAACATTTTTATCAAATGTTTTTTTGCATCTGTTGAGATGATCATATGGGCTTTGTTTCTGTTTCTGTTTATGTGGTGAATCACATTTATTGACTTATGTATGTTGAACCATCCTTGCATCCCTGGGACGAAGCAAACTTGATCTTGGTGAATTATCTTTTCAATGTGCTGTTGAATTCAGTTTGCTAGTATTTTGTTGATCTCCTCATTGGTACGGTGCAGGGTCTCCCCGTGCCTAATCACCATGGCCTTCATCTCCTCACACTGAGGGAAGCAGAGATGCTCATAAGGCTCAGGATGGGACATTTCAACCTTCAGGACACCAAAGATGATTGTGGAGGTTGTGCAGTGCTCAACCTGTGCAACCACACATGGAAGTCCTGCTCTTCCATCCCAACATCAGCAAGGCAGCCCTTCCTTCACTTACCATCCTCAGGGATCAGAATCCCTAGACAAAAGAAGTCTTTTCTAATAGATAACTTGCTTCCCTCCCACTGCCATGTCTAGGAGGCAGACGTCCTGTGCCACCCACTTTGCTGTGGTACCAGGACTCAGCCTTGGCCTGGCTACAGCTGGCAATGTCATCATACTGAGCCCTTATCTCAGCCACAGTGCAGTCCACGTTCAGATCCTGGCTGTTGTTCATCTTGATGATGACTGAAGTGTCAGTGATGTGGGCCAAGAGGGGGTCCATTCAGTTGGCAGGGGTGGCTTAGTATTTTATTTTTAGTTTACAAATATATAGTAATTAAAACAATTCCATATGCAAGGAAAATAAGATTTGTTTTTGGTAAATGAAGCTCACATGAAAGATATGTTGTCAGTAAGGAAAAAAAAACAAACAAACAAACAGAAAGAGAGGAATTTTTGTCCTAAAGTGGAAAGATTGGTTGTTCCAAAATGGGAAAGAAAAGATTCTAGATTTGTGGAAGATGAATTTTGTGAAAGGAATTTATGTGTGCTCAATCTGGCTAAAATTAGAAGGGAATTATTTATAAGTTTTTCTAAAAATTGAGCTTTAATAACAAAAGTGCACTGATGCAAAACTAGAATTTGGTCCTCTCTGTTACAACAAGACTTTTCTTGGAATATTGATCTGCTCTTAATAGGAAATAGTGAAAAGTTTTTCTTTACTTTTAGGTAATTGGCCTAGGAAACAAAGATTCTGTGTTTTATCAAGAAGATTCCCTATGCTTCACATTGTCTTTATTAAGTCTTTGATAACTTAAGAAAACTGAGTCCTCTCTATTAAAGAGTTAATGTTTTTTCTACAAGTATTTAACTTTCTGTTTGTCTTTTAAAGTTTTTTACAATTCTGATCAAATGAATGACTGTTATTTCACAGTAACCTGTGATCCTATTTTGAACAAGTGTTTGAAACCTTTGATATTTTTGACAACTTCCCAAAATCAAATTCTAAATTAAATCTTTTTTTGAACTTGAACTAATTTTGGGATTTTTCAGTTGGGCCCCTGGGACATCAAAAGGATGTTTCTCTCACCTTGTAAAAGAGAGATATGAACTAATCAGGCTTATTTGATGTGCTAAATTATATAGGAAGCATTATCAAATAATAAGCAATGCTCAACCTTCTTCAGTTATATTTATATGGATGTGTTATTAATATTTGTTGCAGAAATTATATGAAATTTACAGAAATCTAATAGTTCATGTATAAAGCTATCAGTCATAGTGCTAGTTATTATCTAAATTGTTGTATGCCATAGAAATAACAAATTTCCTTGTCATTCCCTGGTTATAATGAATTTTCATCAGATTTTTAACTATGGCCATGCTAAGTCTTTGTCATCCACAAACAGTGGTATTGATTCGGGAGGAGGGGGGAGGAGGGAGGAGGGGAGGGGTATTTGTATACACAAGGAGGGCAATGCGCACTACCCGAAGGATGGACATATTTGAAACATGGACTTCGGGGAGGGGGGGAACCAAGGGCAACACACGTAACCTAAACATCTGTACACCCATAATTTGCTGAAATAAAAAAAAAAAGCATTTTCAATCAGCTACCTCCATAAATTGCTCCTTTTTCAAGGAGATTCATGGAAAGAATAGAAGAGACTCTGGCAAGTGCAGGTTTCTGATAACCTTATAAGATAATACCATTGGACTGGGTTAGAATTCCCAGAACTCCAGTGAAGAGACAGACTGGTTTATAAAACTGCTACCCGACATCAAACAGAATAAGAATTCATCAAATACCTCAGAAATACTTTGGCAGATTTTCATGCTAAGTCAGCCAGTACTGAAATTGTCAAGATATGCAATTTGAATGAACCCCCTGATCCAAGTCAAATTATCTATGAAAACCTATGCCTCTGAATTGGTTAAAAATTTGGGGGGACAAAATTTGTATTTAAGAGGATGTAAATGTTAAGTGTGAACTCATGGAGAGCTTGGACAGACACCTGGTCATTCCTGAGTCCTTAAAGTTTCCATTATTAAAAGTTCTACACTCCATGACTCATCATGGAAGAGATAAAAAGATCCAAATTATAAAAAAAATTGGTGTAGTGGCTGTTCCAAAATTGCTAAAATGATTTATGACCAATGTTTGATTTGTCAAACCCATAACCCTGGGAAGGCAATCAAAACTTCAGGTACATTTCTTCTACCTGATAAGTTGTTTGAACATTTATAGAGGGATTTCATTCGATTATCATTTTCAATGCATGTTTTCTGGTTATATAGAAGTTTTCCCATGCAAGAAGACCAATGTTATAATAGTAACTTAAAGGTTATTAGAAAATGCGTTTTCCTCATGAGGCATTCCTGGCAAAATCTCCAGCACAGAGGCACTTGTTTCACTGTACAAGTTGTGAAACAATTAAATAAGGTATTACAAAAACAAAAGCATTGGGCAAAGCTAACTGAATTGACAGGATTGCCTTGGTCAAAGGTACTGCAGATTGATGGCAATCAGAGCCACTGCCTCTGGGAAACACAGATTGACTCCTTACGAAACAGTTACTGCAAGGTCTATGCCCCTAATAATAGAACCTCATGTATCTTCCACTCTCCTAAACTCTGATATGGCTAAATGCTGCAAGGCTTTAATGCATTATGTCAAAGTGTATTTTTGCCAGGTAAAGGAAGCTTTTCATGATCCACCAATTGAGGATAGCTGGGTGTTCTGGAAAAGACATCAAAGAAAGATTGTCCTTGAACCCCATTGGAAGGGACCACACCAAATTATTCTCACCACCCACACTGCAGCAAAACTTTGGGGCCTTGAACCTTGGGTCCCATCTCACAACTCAACAGGGCCCCTTCAGACTCTTGGAATGGTACATCCATTGCAGACCTTAAGGTAAAGCTAACCAGAGAAGTTTCTCCACAGAATCAGACAGTATTCTAGATATGGACAGCTTTTCCAAGATCACAGATCAAGATTTCTCTACCATCATGAAATTCTCACCTCTCTTAATTTTTCTTGCTTCTGCCTACCTCTTTCACCTGGCAGGATAATGGTATAATTAGAATTTCACAATCAGCAGCTTCTGAGGGTAACTTGGCAGAGTGTTGGATCTGTCACGTCAAACTCAAATCTTTACCTAAAAAATCCACCCACTGGATAATTTTAGCAACATCCCTAACATATCTGTTTGTTCAAATTATACTAGTGGTCCCTTTTATGAAGTTAGTCTTCTAGACTCATTTGTTCTCACTACCAGTTTTATTTTAACCCAGTCATGGGATACAAGAACAAGGATGAATGAGTATATCACAAGACAGATTTGCACCAAAAGCCTAAATGGATTTTCTTGGAAACTGACTTATGTGCCAGGGTACAATAGTGCTCTTTTAACTTGTAATATTAATGACTTCACCTCAGATCCTTGGCCAAAAACTGCTAATTCCACCATTCCAAGTAATGTATCCATGAACAATAGAACAATAGAAAGGGGCCTTGTGTGCACCCATTGGGTATTCTTTTATTTGTGAATGATTTCGTGGCCAACCTTACACATAGGCAACCTCATGCCTTAATGGATGGAAGGCGAAAGGCCCATGTGGGTTAGGAATTTTGACGGTACCCTTGTTGTCCCATGGTCAGTCAGAAACAGAACATTGGTCTGCTACCCATAAGGTAAAAAGAACATTGCCAGGAGACCTTAACCCTTATGGATGAGCATCATTTGTTAGGTCCCTTTTTCCATGTCTTGGAGTAAACATAAATGAGGCAATGATTAGACATTTATCCCTCATAATAGGCTCTATAGCAGATTCTACTGCAAAGGCTATGGTTACATAAGACTTTCTTCAAATTCTCTTGCTAAAGTTGTACTAGATAATAGAATTGCTCTAGGTTACTTACAGCATCTTCCCCCGCCCTCAACCATCTCCTATTTTTCAGCCAAAGTGAACTGCCCGCCACTCCCCTCACATCCTCTGGCCTCCCCTGCTTCGTGTCTTTGCCTGCACCATTCCCTCTGCCTCAATCCTCCTCCCTTTCTCATCTCAGCACTTCCAAGTCCTCACACTCTTCAGGCTCAACCAAAGGGTCATCTCCCCTGGGGACTCCCCCCTGACCCCTGGCCCCAGGCCCCTATACTGGAGGCTCACTCTTCTGCCAAGTCCCCATGGCAGGGTATTGCTCCACGACAGCCAGGCGTCCTGCAGCTTTGCATTAAGGTCCTCCGTGTGGTGCCTGCCCTACTTGAGGACCGCAGTCTCCTCCGTCATGCTCCGAGCCTGGTTCCTGATGGGTGCTCAATGCAAGTTTGCTCCCTGCCTCGAACTGGCTCCCGGGACTCACTGGGAGGGAAAGAAGAGGCATGATAACCAAGATAACTTTTTATCAACAGACTGGCATGTTAGAAATAAAAGGGGCAGGCGGATAATTTCTAGAAGATCTTACTGTGAATGGAGGTTTTATCTTCTCATATAGAAGTCTATGCAGGAGTATGTCCTTGATCATGTCTGAAATTTCTCATGCTTCAGCCCATTTCTCTCCCCACCACTAGCCCACCCTGAGTTCCAAGAATAATAAATAGGCCACCAGGGAGCATATTTCCCCAAGCCTGGGTGAGGGATTAGTATTAACAGTTTGGAGGACCCCTGTGGTCTAGATGTGAGACCTTTCAATTCCATCCCCTTCAGTTTGTGTTTTTAGCAAGTACAACTCAGCCTGCAGTTCTTCTCTCTGGATTTTAAATGCATTTAATTGTATGTGTGGACAAAAACTGATTATTAACAGCCTCATTGATTGTGATAGCACAGAAAGTCTGCTCCATCCACCACCAAAACTCAGAAAAGGGTCCAAGCAAGAAGAATCATGTGAGTACCTCCTTAAGTTTAATTTAAGTCATCCACGCTTCAGGATGAGTCCGTTTCCTCTTGTGGAGGAGACACCAAGGGAAGATCTCTCCAATAACCTTATTCCTAAAAGAAAAATTGGAGTAGAAATACATAATCCTGAAGCCAAGCACTAATCACACAGCTGGTGACTCCCACTCAAGCTGAGGGTAGATGCACAAGACACTGTAGAGTTGGGCTCTGTCTTCTACAGGGAGCGGAACTAAGGTTGGCCTTAAACTGCTGCAAACAAAACAAGGCTGGACCAAAGGAATCCAAGCCCATGAGAGTGTGGAAAGGACAGCAAAGGGGACAATCGGGCACTCCCTGGAAATGAGATGCCAGGCAGCCCAAAGACAGGGATGGCTATGATGACCT